GTTCATCTCTAAACGATTTCATCCCTATCCGATTTCATCTCATATCTTTATAAAATGTTATATTATTAAACCAAAAATAAATTATTTTATTATTAAACTTAAATTAAATTATAAAAAAAATCTATACTATATTATAAAGCATTTGATAAAAACTCTTAAAAACTACTTTTTATGCATAAAGTACTGTTTATTAATGCATATTACTTAAAACTCAAGATTACAAGTAGATTATGTGTAAGTACAACTTATTAAAACTCCATATCTTAATTCATGTAACTAATTGCAGATAAACATCTTATTTTAAATATAAAAAACTAAAATATAATTAGGATAATCATCGAGTTCTAACAGAATACTTAATTATTATCTTTATAAAATGTTATATTATTAAATCAAAAATAAATTATTTCATTGTTAAACTTAAATTAAATTATAATAAAATAAATAAATTAAAGAAATTACATAAAAAATGAAAACTTTTAAATAGTTGATTTGACGTTAACATTGATATATTTTTTTTAAAAATTTTTGTGATATCTTCAAATTTATATTTTATTCAAAAATAAAATCATTATTGATTTTTTTTTAAAACACATAATCTATACTATCTATACTATATTATAAAACATTTGACAAAAACTCTTAAAAACATTTTTTTATACACGAATTATTGTTGATTGATGCATATTACTTAAAAATTAAGATTACAAGTAAATTATGCATAAATACAACTTATTAAAGCTCCATACTTGAATTCGTCTAACTAACTGCAGATAAACATAATCAATTATTGGATAAATATCTCATTTTAAATATAAAAAATCTAAAATATAATTATGATAATCATTGATAACTAACATAATTTAATTAAGGAAATTACACCAAAACGCAATAACTTTAAAAAAGATTAATTTAATATTAATATCGGTATTTTTTTTCAAAATTTTATGATATTTTTAAATTTATATTTTATTCAAAAATAAAAATATTACCACTTTCTCAAAACCAAATAAAACAAATGTTTACTTAAAATTCAAGATTACAAGTAAATTATGCAAAAGTACAACTTACCAAAGCTCGATTTTTGAATTCGTATAACTAATTGCGGATAAATATAATCAAATAGAGAATAAGCATCTTATTTTAAAATAAAAAAAATCTAAAATATAATTAGGATAATTATCGAGTTCTAACAAAATAATTAATTATTATCTTTATATAAAAATATATATTTTAAACCAAATATAAATTACTTCGTTATTGTACCTAAATTAAATTATAATAAAATTTTGAATTAAAAAATTACACAAAAAATGAGGAATTTTAAATAGTTAATTTGATACGAATATCGATATATTTTTGTTAAGCATAAAATACTGTATATTGATGCATATTACTTAA